TCCCTCTGAAAACTCAGATCCATCACTTGGGTGTGGTCATGGACTCCAGTCTGCACAATGGATGGCCAGAAGCAGAATTACATAGTCAAAGCTAGTGTGCTAGCTTCCTGGAGATGTCTGACTTGACTAAGATGACACATGCCTTCGCTACATAGTACGTGAATCACTAGAACATGCCCTATATGCAGCTCTGTAGATTGAGTAAATCTGACTGGTTCAAAACAGGGCCTACTATAAAGAATATACAACTACAATGTTTGTTGTAGGTTTTTCGGGCTACCTGGCCATGTTCTTAAGGTTTTTCTTCCCAACATTTCACCAGTCTCTGTGGCCGGCATCTTCAAAGGACAGGAGTCAGAACTCTGGCTGTGAAAGCCTTCGAGAATACAATATACAACTCGCTTTTGATAATAGCTCAGTTATCTAGCACAACTATATGTGCTGGTTGAAGGAAATAGGCTCACTGAGGAACAGGCCTGATTCAGAACAGGCAGGGCCACTATAGACCAGGCATTACTTTTGCAATATCTATATAGGCATCCTTCAGTCTCGAGAGACTATGGTAACATGCTCTGAATCGAGGAGTGTCCTCTCCAGAGCATGAAGCCCGGGTAAGGTAATATGGAGGATAGGCTGTTATCCAAGCAGCAGATCCCCCCTCTCCACATTGCTGAAATGGTCCAATGGAAAGGCAAGAGCCAATACAACTGGTTCCAGCAATGTCGCAGGAGTTGGCAGAACGACACATGCTGTAATAATAAACATCAGGCACAGTCAATCAAAATTATCAAAACATTGACTGGTATTATATAACAGATACAAGTTTTAACCAAAAAAACCCTAAGTATCTGTTAAATATCGACGCAGTATGTATGCTATTCCTAATATTGCTGTTTTTTGTAGCTCTGATGGCATGATTTCTGAGATCTGCAACTGCTTATAGTACTGTATGAAGTTTCTTGATATTGTTCCCAAAGCCCCGATGACGATGGGGACCAGTGAATTGTGTTTCATCCACAAGCGAGATTTTTCAACTGCCAGGTCTCTGTATTTTTTTAGTTTTTCCAATGGTTTATCATTGTCATTGCCATCCTCATTATAACTATAACAATTTTTATAAACTATGTTTTCACTGGTGGAGGGGAACCCCCCTTTTTTTCTTCTCCAGCCTTTTTCCTGAGTTTTCTCTCCCTCAAACCCCCAATCTCTGGGGGAGGGCAGGACAAGGGGAGACAAGAATTAAATATGATGGCCTGGGGAGGCGGAGTGTGGCTCATGAGTCCTGCCTCTTACTAAAAGGATCTATCCACAGCTGTCAATGGTTCCAGGCACTTTTAAAGGGGTCCTGAGCTCCTTGCCAGGGAGTAGAAGACTAACAAGAAATCATTCTAAAAGAGACTGAAACCTACGCTTGAGGTTGGTTTCAAACTTGATTTTGGGGAAGACTTGTTAATTTTAAGTACAGATATAAATATCTAGTGAATAAATATTCCACTCCTAAAGGGGGCTCTCTGTATAAGGCTTTTATAGACTTCAAATCTGCATTTGATTTGATTGATAGGGAAGAATTGTGGGCAAAATTAGAGGCTACAAATATTGACAAAAGATTCCTTTTTTGTAATGAGGTG